TTTGGAGTGTTTACGACTATTAACCATAAGAGCTTGACGGTTTGAACAGCAAAGTCTACCACAGATCTGTTCTCAGTTTTAAACCACAGACTCTTTTGGTGTGCTTCTGTGAACACAGTCTATTGCAGTGAGTCATGTTTGCGTCACTGGATTACCGCTTTATTAACATTGGCCTTGGGCGTTGTGCGTCTCTATGTTAAACACCAAACAAGGAAACTCTGTAATTGAGGTCAAGCTTACTTAGCAGTTTAAGTGATAGAATTATTAATAATTACACAATGTTACAAAGTGTCCTGTCTAGTAAAGATCTAGGGAGGATCTGTTTGACTGTTGGAAACCATCCAGTAACTAACACCGGTTTCCTGTAGTTGACGTTCCCAAAATTAAGCCAGATTTGGTCTATAGCAGCTATAATGGTAAATAGTGAACAGCAGTATTGTTGATTTAGCTCATGTGGTCATAATATTGGTCTAATTGTTGCATAATTCTTTTACAAAAATAGCATAGTGAACGAAGTTTTATGCTAAGCTGTGTTAGAAACGGGGACAAAACAGAACCAAACAACTTGCAGCCAGGTCAAACATTAAACATCTCTTTTTCCAAATTTCATGGTGCTGTTTTTGTTTTTCAATTTGCAGAAGAGAAAGATGAGTTGGCCTGACCCTGACCGCTCTGGTGTACTCCCAGCGAAGCATAAACACCAGGAAAAACATGCAGTTTGTGAAGCTGTGACGTGTCTCCCTGAACTGGATGAACAAAGCTCTCACAAGGCAAGGACTAACAAACAATCGAAGCCTAGTTGCACAGATGGACATAAGTTTATCGCTTTATCAAAAGGGGAAAATAAAGAAATGCACTGTGGGATCTCTCAACCCGCTCCAGTAACTCAGGACAGCTCTGTATCCTCAAGTACCACCACGTCAGATTCACCTTAGTGGACCCGCCACATGGAGGCGCTAAAGCGAGAGAGAGTGAAGGATCTCTGTGTTACATAAGCTCACACTGCAGCAGTATGTGACCGCTGCGGGGCAAGAAGAGGTGGAGAGACACAACATGTAGTCATTAACCACTACATGGACAGGGGACTATTTATATGACATGGTGGACACTCATCAGCTTATACTTTATTTGACTTTGGCCCATGTGACAACAAGGGAAAGGCTTTCAATTTGTTGTATTTGTTTAAGGCGTGCAAGTGTCCAAGAGAGCGGAGACAATGCAGAAATCCAAACTTATACAACGATGACATAAGGGAGTTTCAGAACATGGATGCTTGTTGACCAAAATATGCACATTCACGTGTTTAAAAATTTAAGGCAAATTACATTTAATACAAGTAAAATAGTGCACTTTTGAAAAAATAAACAGTAAACATATTTTTTATATATTGAACTTACCCTTTTAAAGGAGTCTAACTCTAATTATTATGTGGCTAAGCAGCAGTAGTTTAGACAAAGCCCTTGTCTCTAAACAAAGAAAGCTGGAAATTTAAAAGGTTTTGAGCCAGAGCTGAGCCAGACGTTTACTGTGTACTGAGTACAAAGTCCAAGTGTTTAATTGTTATGATGCATAACATTGTGAATGGAAAAAACCCTTTTATGGCATAAAATGTTCAATAAGAGGAAAGAATGTCTCAGTCTAATGGACAGTGTCTTTAGATTGTTTAAAAGCTTCAGTAAAAAATGCTTTACTGTTGATTTTAGGGAAACACGTGGGTTCTCAACACATCTACATTTCAAGTATTGTGGACCATTGTTTATATAAAAGTCATATCATTCATGTTGAATGGAGTTTCATCTCTGGTTCTTTGCACCGGGCGGCCTTAACTTGACAGTCAGAACACATAACATTACATATTTAGGCCTAAAAATGCAGCCAGTAATTAAGCTGGCCTTAAACCTATTAAGCACCTTTGGTTCTTTTTGCTGCATTTTTGAAAGCTTTGTTTTAGATCTTTATTGTATGTTTTTCATTAAGGAATTCTGCTTAATGTTTCACAAAACAGTTAAATAATTGCAATGTCAATGCAATATTTCAATGTAATAAAATAAACAACATAGCTTCTTTTTATCGCAGAACGTGTGCTTATATTCTACACATGCTTAATCTTACATGTTATCACATCAGAGAAGCAGCCGCTGGGAGACTAAACACTTTTATATTGATTTATTGTTTTAATGCAGCCGGAGCAGCTTTACATCTGTGACACGTGTACAAGTTACATAACACATGTTTACGTTTTGTTATGCAGTCAAACACAAATGTGAATCCACCAAAGGTAATAAAGAGACAGAGAGTTCAGAAAGCAATGTCAGTCAAAAATGTACTTCAAAAGACCTGTTTATTTTTTCCCAAAGAAATAGCTCTTTCTGTAGTTTGGATGCCCACTTCAAATTGTAGGAAAAGATTGACAAGTTGTTGAATGTGTGGTGGGACATGAAGGACTTCTGCAATTTAAAGAGCCAGAACAAAGTTATGACATAGATCATAAAATAGCATAATATGATATCATAACTTTGTTTCCACATCAAAAACTGACCTGAATTTGTGTTTTGTTTTATTCACACATGTTTAACACACACAGACATGTGATGTCATGTGGTAATACAGGAAGTGCTCCTCTTGTTTTTAAACTCCATACATTTTCACTAGAATCATTTGTATAATTTCACCTCTGGAATTGCTGATCTCTCCTAAACTAAAGATAAAAGGTAGCTGTCAACCTGAAAATTACTGCTTCATGACATCACAAAGACGAACAGAGCATTTTCAGCTTTGGAGATGTAGGCCAACCTATAATAAAGCTGTGATGTGAACCTGTGAAAGAAACAAAACACAGTCTAACTATTCTAATTATTCCTGAAAACAACATCCAAAAAGCAATTAATCTCATTGTTTACATAATTCATGATATCAATGTAAAAGTGGGACATTGTCTAAATAAAAACCATTGTACATGCATGTTCTAGCTGTACCACATTTTTGCATCCTTTTTTTCTTTAAAAGGACCCATATTGCGGTATGTTTTGATCTTTGTTATGATGTTGTTTCCTCATCAAAAACATACCTAGAGTATTTAGTTTGCCTCTCAAAAGAAAGAAAACACTCTTTTCCACTTTATGATGCCATGTGGTACTAAAGTAAGTGCTCCATTATGTTTTTAAACTCTATACACCTTCACAAGAATCAGCTGAATTGTTTCAGATGTGGAATTGCCAATCTCTACTAAACAAAAGGTAAAAGTTAGCTGTCACCTTGAAAACTAATGCTTCATGACATTACAAGGTGGAACAGAGCATTTTAAGCTTTGGAGATAAAGGCTCAAACATGTGAATGAAACAAAACACAACTCCAGATATGTTTTTGATGTGGTAATATCATGGCTTAAAGCCCACGACACCCAGTTTCTCGTAATATAACACAGACCTTTAAATATATATTTATTTTGCATTTACTGCAGACGGCGCTGTTTGGATCTCTGTCCACTAGAGGGGGCGCTTTTATTTTCCTTTACGGAAGTGCGCCGCGCCGCTCAGAGAAGAGTCCACGAGTAAACAGCATTGTATGGGATCGCTAGGTGTTAGCTTCAAATGCCATGTAATATTATCCTATTACGCCCGATAAAAGTTATAAGCGACAAATCCCAGGTAGATAAGAGATCATACTATAAAACAGTTTTATTTTAAGCTTTTTAGTGTCATGATGAACTCGGAGCGACGTGAGGACGTTGTAATATTTGTGCTACGCTAACCTAGCCTGCTGAGCTAGCTTCCAGGCTTTTTGAGTAGAAAGTTTTACGTGGACAATATCATGGCTGCGGGAGCGTCTTCTGGTGGTTCTCTGGAGTCCACTTTAGACAGAAAGTTTCAAAATGTGACCAACACCATGGATTCAATACAAGGGCTGTCTACGTGGTGCATCGAGAATAAGAAATACCACAGTGTGATTGTGCGGCAGTGGCTCAAACATGTGAAGAAAGGTGAGTGAAGGCAGGTGCACACTCAAAACACAAATGCACTATTACTGTGACACAGAGGGGACTTGATTTGCTGAGCCTTGTAATCAAAATATGCACATTAACTTAAGCAATAGTGCTGTATTTTTGTAACAAGAATGCCCAGTTTAATTTCCTTAAAGGTGCTGGTGCACAGTGTAACTTTGTCTCCATGGAGATATTACTGCCTTGTCTGGTATGTCCCACAGTATGGCAATGAATGTTCCGCAGTACTTCTTTTATAGAGACGAGCAGGTGATACCAACAGCCAGTAAGTTACAGGTCAGATCCGCAGAGGCGAGCCTGCTCATAGTAAGAATGCATGTTTTTATTGTATTTTTGAGTAATAAAACCACATGCAACTTAATAAATGCAACATAGATACATTAAAGGCCATACTGTGAAACATTCAAATTAATAACATCTCCATTTACACGATATACAATATAGATATGGGGCATATGCAAAGTATGTTGCTACATGTAGATGGAGTTGTTAACCATAAAACAGACATGAACATAAAACATTAACACAAACTAACATTACATATTAAAATATAAAAGGAGCAGGCTTGTGTAGATGCTTTTTTGGCTGTAATCTGTGATTTACATTTTTGCTTGACGTCCTTGAATGTGTTGTAAATATGTCAAAGGGATCTTCACATTTGTTGTTGACTGGAGATAAAATATTTTGTGATTCAGTTCAGTTTGTGTTGTCGTGTGTCTGCTTAATGGCTGATGTTTTGAGTTTAATGCTGTCATTTTGTCTATAAACGGACTAGGCTTCCATTATAAGATTATCATAGGATTGCTTTGGCTTTGATTAAACATGTATATTTTGCTAAAAAACACAAGAGTGTAATTAAATAGACTAAATGTCTTTATTTATCCAGTAGTGAATTAACTGCATTTGCAAATTTTTGTTTTTTTTCTTAGTTTTATTGGTCTGGAGTCATATATGGTTAATGAAAATATATAAAATATATGAAATTCTAGTTCGATATCCTTATCAGGTTAAGGAATAGACCCAGTACTTGATACCGATTCCGATACTATGATGATAATTAAAAACACTCTTTATTTAGACAATAGAATGCCATTTTCAGCATTAAATACTTATATTTTCTGTTATATTACCATGCAGCCATATATCTGTGTAATCTCTGTCTTTAGTACTAGTCTATGTGGTCTTATACTTGTTTTGATACGTTGATACTTGCTCACATTAGCATCAGTGTCAATACTAGTTTTTATATTGATTAGTGTCTGATTTTCAGTACTTTTGAAAAAAAAAGCAGCCATAAGTCTGGAGTGTTCTGTGCACATACCTGTGTTTCGGTGAATGAAAAGGATAGAACAGTCACACCAAATACCACCACAGAAAAGACTACCAGGTCTAAATCAAGTATGTAACAGGTCTATTCCAGGTCTAATCTAGGGCTAATCAAGTCCTAATAGGGGACTACATTATTTCCACTATAGTTGTTGAAAGTTGAAATTACTAGTAGGGATACATTATGCTATAATGGTAATGGATATTGAAGCCCATACTGAAAAAATTGCTGGATCAGATATCGACTTAAAAAAAACAGTTCAGCTGATATCATGGTCAAATTCATGTATGAAGACTATTTGCTGGCCGTAGTTGGCCCAGAAAATGTCATAATTATTTATACTATATATATTATATTATATTAACAGATTTGGAGCATTTTTATCTTGTTTTTGTTTAAAGAAATAAATACTGGTTTCATTCATGGTATTGGTATCAGTATCGGCAGATGGTTAAAGCTGTATTATAAGTCAGCATCTGAACGGAAAAAGCTGGATCGGTGCATCCCTAGAATTTACCCAAAGGAGGACAAAGAAGTGGATGAAATCTCTTCCACTGTAGATGCATCTCCTGTATTTCATCTGTTTGTTCTTGTTTTAAATAGAGGTAGATCAATATCAGGCACATACTTGACTTTTTGGCTAATTTCCAGCATAAGCTTGATCTGCTGCCTAAAAATACACACAAAGCTTTAAATTATTAATTAACAATTTAGTACAAAGAAAAAAATACAGCTCTCTTAAAGGTTTGTGGTAAAACAGGGCTGTGGGTGAGTTTGTTGTAAATTTAAATGATATAAATTGGGGAAAATACTCAAAATAGGGCAAAAAATCTACCAGAAATATCATCATTGGTCTCTCTGAATTTTAAACAATCAGTATCAACATATTAGTTGATCTTTAGTTTTAAGTCCACCAAAACACTGTGCTCTTCATTGCTTTAATAAGCTTGCCCATTATATTTTCTTTTCCATAGTCAAGCCTTAATTTATTACAAAAATGCCCTGTAAAGTTGTTAAAATTGTCTTTTAGAAAGTTTTTTTTTTTTTGCTACAATCTTTTAATTTTGAGATAATTCTTCCCTAAATAATCTGCCTTTGTGTTGGCCTTTAAATGGATAGTTTTAGACTGAGAATTTGTAGCTGCTTTTCTGTTTTATGAGTAGTGCCGTCTTTGAATATCTATGGTATCTTTTCCTTTGAGAAGAATGATATGAATTAGATGTATTTTGTGAATATGAAACAAAGACACCAATAGGTTTTGTCTGAGACATTGTTCTCTAAAGTTAAATAGTAATTAATAATATACTAAAAATAGAGTGACATTAGTTAATCTGACACTGTCTTTATTTGTGTTTGACAGCCAGTCCCTCTCACAGACTGAATCTTCTGTATCTGGCCAATGACGTCATTCAAAACTGTAAAAGGAAAAATGCCATAGTTTACAGAACGGCTTTTTCTGAAGTTCTGGTTGATGCTTTTTTGCTGATCAAGTAAGTCATGTTTGTTTGTTTATGTTTTATTAGACTTGACAAGCTTCAGTATCTCACACATGACAATAATGAATATAATAAAATGCAAAAATGATAAAATAATGAATGCAGCAACAATAGCATAAGCCTCGTGTTGAATAAGGCACAAATATACAAATTTTTATAGCCTACAATAACATCTAGTAAATATCAAGTACACCTAGGCTATACTGCCCTACAAAGGAAAAATGCAGTATCTGTTTTGACCGTTAAACTGAGAAAAATGACTTTAAAGTTTTGATGTTGTCACTCTGTGTATATCAGAGGTGCACTAATAATGGTATGTTTATGTGTTACTCTATAAGTAAATACATAACCAATCACAACCATTACCTCTGATTTGACCTTTGACCTCTTAATGAACAGTTAAACTACAGTTCGAGAAAATAAATTTGGGGAGACTTGTGACCATCCAAAAAGTATTTTAGTTTATGTGTTCAATTGAGTTTCATTGGTTTCATGTCTATATTTTATCGCATTTCAGAATTACACAATAAAACAAATTGCAGCATCTGCACGTTGTGTAAAACTCCAGTAAAACGATGGAAAAGTGCCGTGTCTGTGTTTCAGTTCGTCAGTTAGAACCTTCCAAGTTACTGCGCTTTTCCTTTGTATAACCAAAGCATTTGTAGTTACTGCAGATTTAACATAAACATTTCTGAAAAACGAGAAACGAAACTTTGTCACCAAATAAAACTGGTTATATGAAGCTGGTTTATGGCAGTTACTGTACTTTTTCTTTTGTGTTGGTGGAGTAAGATAAGAGTGCATTAGAATTGTTATGTCTTTATTTGTCTTTGCCAGAGTGTAATTTGATCCTGTTTTTGTCAGCTCCGATGGAGACGCCAAGGTGCTAAAATCTGTGGAGAGGATATTGTCAATTTGGGAAGAACGAAGTGTGTACGAAGGCAACCTCTTATCTGACCTGAGGAGCGCTTTGGTCAAAGAGGAGTCACCCCCAGAGACCCCCGTTGAACAAAAGAGTAAGTTAGATCAGCATGACTGTAGTTATGTTATAACTACATTGTCCAAATACATACGGGTGTTTTGAACACATGACTCTCATTTAAATCAAAGGTGCACTGTGTAACTTTTCTGATTGGGGTCTGTCACCAGCCTGTCTCCATGGAGATATGGAGATATGGAGATATGGCTTTGCCATAATAAGACATTTAACAAATCTTTCTTGCATTAATTCAGTTCCAGATGTTTTTATAGCCATTTCAGTTTTTCAGTCATCTGACTTGTACCTTGGGCTTGTGGCGTCTGCTGCTTGTTTCCCTGTGGATGTGGAAAGTTACATAGTGCTCCTTCCACCGTCCAGTACATTCTTCATAACCTTTTCATGCAAAGTACCACTTCGCTATTGCTTTTAGATTATGTATGTATTGTTATAATAAAAACTGACAGATCATAGTGGTGGTCCCTCTGTTTACAAAGGGGGACTGGAGGGTGTGTTCCAATTACAGGGAACACTCCTCAGCGTCCCCGGTAAGGTCTGTTCCAGGGTACTGGAGAGGAAAATCCGATAAATAGTCGAACCTCGGATTCAGCAGGAGCAGTGTGGTTTTCATCCCGGCCGCAGACACAGGACCAGCTCTACACTCTCCATCGGATGCTCGAGGGTTCATGGGAGTTTGCCCAACCAGTCCACATGTGCTTTGTGGATCTGAAGAAGGCTTTCAACCGCGTCCCTCTTGGTGTCCTGTGGGGGGTGCTCTGGGAGTATGGGGTTTGGGGCTCTTTGCTAAGGGCTGTCCGGTCCTTGTATGACCGGAGCAGGAGCTGTGCTCGCATTGCCGGCAGTAAGTCAGACCTGTTCCCGGTGCATGTTGGACTCTGCCAGGGCTGCCCTTTGTCACCAATTCTGTTCATTGTATTTATGGACAGAATTTCTAGCCGCAGTCAGGGGCTGACGGGAGCCCGGTTTGGAGACCACAGGATCTCATCTCTGCTGTTTGCAAATGATGTTGTCCTGATGGCTTCATCAAACCAGGACCTGAAGCATGCACTGGGGTAGTTTGCAGCTGAGTGTGAAGCAGTTGAAGATGTTATGATAACAATACATTAGTCTTAACTACCGCTTTTTCAGATGCTCAAAGTCGCATTACAATTTGGTGCAATATTCATTCTGTCCACACTCGGTTGTGGTACACTTCAACTGTAGCCAAAGCTGCCCTGAGGCAGACTGACAGAACAGCCAGGCGGCCAATCTGCCCCATCTGCCCCTACGATCACCACTAATCACACACAACACTTTCATTCTAGGCACTGTGGGTGAAATTTTATTTACTTTTTAATTTATTTTTTCTGCAGCACCAATTGAATCCACAGCCGAAATACGCTCTAGGATTGTAGCTGAATTTGTGGTAAGAATAATGCTGTAATAATGACTACAGTTTCACAATAGTTTGGGAGTGTGAGTCTGACTTCTGTTTGCTGTAGCCTCAGGCCTTTATCGACCAACTGTCCAAGTACCAGCGCTCTGTGGACGAGGTGGACCTGAGAGAGAAACAGCTGACCGCCATGAGGCTGGACATCTGCAACTCTGAAACACTAAAGAAACTCAAAGGTGCCAATTTAAACTCTCTGTATTATTATGTATTACATTAGTAAGTAAAAAGCAGAAATACGCCAAAAAATGTCTTTTAAATGTATTAGCTAAGGTTATGTAAGTATCAAAAAAAATATGAACTTGAGCTAAAAATGAAGTTATTTACCAATTTTCTGCAGCATTGTGGGTAATTTTACTGCCATATTTCATATTTTCTGACACTTAGTTCTTAAGTAATCCATTTAAATACATTTTTGGCACATTTCTGATGGATTGACATAATATTTTCTGAAGACTGGCATTGGAATTCTCCAGAAAATGTATTATACAATGTTCATTTTAGTCAGTATCCTAGTGATAAATGAAGATTGCTTTTCTATTGGTTTAAAAATGACACCAGAATCTCACCTGGGTTGATGTTAATGATGTTTACTTCGTATCTAGGAACACAAATGGGCAACTTTCTTGGAATATGAAGAAGTAATTCCACATATACTACCATTAAAATATAATATATATATATATATATATTTATATATATATATTATGCCATATATATATTATGGTTGTTTTTAAACTATGGGGGAGAATGTGAGACCATGGGGGACCATCATGGTGTCCTCTATTAATGGAAAACACTGCTGAACTTGTTTTGATGTTTATAGATAAAGCTGGAGGAAAGAAATTTTCCAGAGACTTTGAGGAGGGAAGTGCACAGCTCCAAGAGTTTGTGAAGTTTCTCGAAAAACAAAATAAAACATCGGCCCCGATCCTGGAAGCTCTGAGCAATGCCGACGTCTTCTATGAAATGCAGTACAAAGAAGTGAAGATTGTGGCAAATGTGAGTGAAAACTGAGGCTTTAATAATTGATAAGCAATATATAGAAAGGCAATAGGCTGGTTATTATTCATGTTTTTTTTTTTAACATCAACACCTTTGAGCTTATTTTATGGTTTTATTCATGGTTTAGTTGTTAGGTACATTGTGTAACTTTTCTGGGGGAGTGTCAATGCTTTTCTTCATGGAGGTATTATTGCTTTATCTAGAATGTTTCAGAATATGGCATTAAATGTTTCTATCTTCATGGAGACCGAATTGGACCAAGTTACAGTTCAGATCTGTAGAGTGGCACAGCCAGAAAGCTGGTAATCTAGGTATTTTTGAACTATAAAACCGCATGTAATATAATAAATGTAAAGTAGAGCTTTTTAATGTCATACTGTTTAACATTCGAGTCAGAGCAATGACATATTCATAAAACACAAGCAGGTGACGGACCCCCAACTAAAAAGTTTCATAGTGCATCTTTAAGACCTGGTTTAGTCCTGTTGTTAGAATTCAAATAGAGTCCAAATTGTGTTCTAACTGGTGTTTAATATAAAAAGTCTAAGATCTTCTGATAGACAACATTTCTTCCTGTGTCATCCAGGCGTACCAGACCTTTGCCAATCGCGTGAACCATCTGAAGCGTAAACTGGACAGTTTGAAGGCCACTCTGCCCAGCCTGGATGACTCCCCCCTGCCCTCACCCTCTGCAGATGCCCCCTCCCCCACGGGCTCAGAGTCCCCCTTCCACAACCTGTCCTTGGCCCATCCTGACCCAGAACTGGATGGGTCTGCTCTGGATGACGATGCAGAACCTCCAGCCCCCAGCCCCCTGTCTTCACCAGGGGCGTCCCCAAAACATGCAACGATCGGGGCCAGTGACAATATAGAGGTGGAGGACATGGAGCTGTCTGATGAGGAGATGGACAGTGGCGGCATTATAGGTGAGGATTTTAAATGGTAGATACTTTGTTCGTTAAAGGGCCTATATTACACTATCTACGTTATAATGTTGTTTCCTCATCATAAACAGACCTGGAGTTGTGTTTTGTTTCATTCATACATGTTTAACATAAAACATATCTAGGCTGAGTTCTTCTCTCACACAGAGAATATGTGGACTGTTCCACCTTGTGATGTCATTTGGTAATACAAGAAATGCTCCATTGTGTTTTAAACCCCATACACCTTCACTAGAATCATTTGGATCACTTCAGCCCTGGAGCGACCAATCTCTACTGAGCTAAAGGTAAGAGGTAGCTGTTAATTTGAAAAACGTGACCTCACAAAGTGGAACAGAGCATTTTGAGCTTTGGAGATGTAGACAGACTAATAATATAGAATTACTTAAACATGCGTGAATGAAACAAAACTCCAGATATGTTTTTGATTAGGTTAAAACATTATAACACAGCTAAAAGTTCACAGGAATCAGTTTTGTGTAATATAGGACCTTTAATTTCCATGTCAACTAAAATACATGATTTTATTCTATAATAATGACTTCTAAGCATCATTAACAAAATAGAAATCTGTTAGCCATCAGCAAGACCACTTAAATCCGTTAGCCATCAGCAAGACCACTTAAAGTTAACTACTAATTAGTCAATGTAATCTCTCATTTGTCCAAGAGTGGTCCATGTTAGAAAAGGTTTCTGCATTTACTTTTAACTACCTTCAAAAGTTTTTCTGCCTAATTAGTAATAATTTTTAATTACCTCTTCTCATTTTCACCAGATTATGTAAATCCTTCAAGAGAAAATTGCATTTAAGTTACTTTCAATATTGTTATAAAAACAGTATTAGAGAGATACAGTATAAAAAGGGCTGCTAATGCATTTCCAGCTCTTCAGAATCTTGACTTGACTTTGTCTACTGGAAGTTCCTGTTATGAATGAAAGTCTGATCCATTTGATCAATCTCCTGTATGGACAACTGCTGATTGGTGTGTGTTGTTTTTAGATGTACTGTACAACAACAAATAAATTTATGTCTCTTTTGTTTATTTTAAGAATGTCTTAAACTTATTCCTCACTTTCCTAACACTTTCATAGCATCCTACTTATTTACTGAGATCATTTTTACAGGTGCTTTATACAACTTTTAGAGGCCAGAGTTTTGCAACTAGCATGCTAACAGCACACCGGCACTGCAACAATCAGATCACACAGCAGTCTAATTTTAAACCTAAGAGCTGCTTTTACAATATATCTGTACTGGTTCAAGAGAAACTATTCTTTATTACATGAACAAAATGAGGTACATGCCCTTTGAAGGTGCACCACGCAAATTTTCTGGTGGAGGGTTTGCTACCTTTTTGTCTCCATGGCGATGTTATGACTTTCCTTGGAATGTTCCCTAGTATGACATTAGACAGGTACATGTAGCATTTATTCATTATGGGTGTTTTTATTGCTCAGAAATACAATGGTGCATTTTGTGAATAGGGGTGACTCTCCACAGATCTGAACTGTAATGTAGCGTAGTGCAGGTAGAAATGTTACGCAGTGCACCTTAGTAGTTCTACAGTACAGTTCTAATGTTACTGATGGAAAGTTACCATAGATTTTTCCCTGCTATGTCTGTACTTATGATTCATGGTGTGGTTCCCTTGTGTCGCTTCTCCTGTGATAGTGGAGGAGCAGACTGCGTACGCCGTTCAGACAGAGGTGCCCACTCCAGCCCCTCACAGCTCGGACTCATCAGTCGTCCCACAGCCGACTGTCCCGGAGGTCACCCCCCTCGCTGCCCCTCTCAGCGCCCCTCCTGCGGCCGCAGTCGAAGGTGTTGACCTGGGTAAAATTGGCTCTTTCCTCAACAGTTTGAGCTCAGTCATAAAGAACACAGGTGAGTGCTGCTGCCGCTGCTCTGTTGAGGGCAGCTCTGGTTATAGATACATTTCAGGCACTAGTGGTAAATAATAAATACGTTCAGATTACACCTTCTGAATTTTAGAATGATTCATACCATTCACTTGGCACTCTGCATAGAAATGGTACCTCTCCTGAGGTCTGCACATGTAGTCATGTCACATGTGACAACTTTTAATTTTCACTATTCAAATGATTAAAGACTCTTTTCCACTGGCGCAGTTCTCTTGGGGCTGCCCTGGTGCTGCTCCCTCCAGCCCCAGGGTCCAGAGTCAGTGCTCTGCTACGTGAGACACTGACTGTCACTCAAACAACTCATGTTTTCTTAATAAAGGAAATCTAAATTATACCTGAATTATACTTTTCATCACAAGGCTGATCTCTGCCATTCACAAAAGTCCAAGTTTGTGGTACTCTGAGACAAAGCTAAAGCTAGCGTAAACACAAGAAATTCTGGTTTATTGTCATCTTTTACTGCATTTATTTAATTTCTCTGCACCTCTACACCATGTTTTAGCATCTTTTTATATAATGCTTTGGGTTTGGCTCATGTTAGATGCATTATGCACTGGAAATGTAATGTTTTATCAGCTTTTTGCTGTCTTGTTTTCACCTGACTCTGCATTCTCGTGTCCAATTATCTCGTTGTTATCATCTCAGGGTTGTTAACCACCCTGTAGCCGTTCTGCCCCCAAACCCTCTGGGTGCAATACCCTCCAGCATCAGACCCCTCAAATGGGGTGGTACAGTTCACTTTAGTCATTGAAGATGCTTGTGACCCGTATCGATCCACTCCAAAGTAAATCAGCAGTGACGAGGCTTACTTAAGATGCCGTCTAAAGCAGTTGACAGTAATCTAGTTAAACAGAGTTCTGCTGTTCTGATGACACAGTTGACATCTGTGAAATATTTGCCTTCTATCTGGGATCACATTATGTTTTATAGATATCAAAATGTTACCTTTTACAGTGTTTCAACCGTATAACCCATTTTAGGAGATCAAAAGACGTAGTCTGTGAATTAAATATTTTAAACACTAATAAGTTGTTTTAAACACTAATAATGTTTACCAGCTGTACGCATCTGTTTGCAAGGATTTTTGTTGGTTAATAAAAAACAGATTGTGCTGGCCTGTTTTGAACATATTGTACTTTAACAGATTATACTGTTCTTATGCATAATTAGTTTATTTTGGAATAGGGATGTTGCAAAATCAAATCTGTGTTACGGTTATTGTGAAAAGAGTTTTGGAAAATATCTGATTTAATGAAAGTAAAGGTAATGTGTCACAACCAGCAAAATATAGAAGCACTTTTTAGATATTTTTTTGTGTTAGTGTGGTAAAATTATGCTATTATTAATAATTGTGATTATTCAGGTCATGATATAATCAAAGACCTAAAAATAATCATAAGCTTGACACCCCTATTATGAAATGATTAATAAAATAAGCAATATGCAACTGAAAACACTGGATTGTGGCTAGATAATGTAACTTTGCTCATCTTTCTGGGACAGGACCCTCACAGGACTCCAAAAACCCTTCTTCTGCGCACACGGCCTCAGCTGCCCTTGCAGTTCTACAGGATCAGAGCTCTTTGTCTAAACTTCTCTCAAAAGTGGATATGAGTGCGTCAGACCTGCTCAACGCTCTCACCAAAGTCCAAGCCAAAGGAGGGATAGAGGGTGAGAAGAACTACACTCACACCTATTAGACACTCGAGCATTATGACTTTGCTGGGGTGAAGAGAATAATACAAAGGGTCACCTGAAGGTCCTTTATTATGCAAAACTGACTTTTCTGAGTAACCCTTTGTTATAAATTTGTCTACATCGCCAAAGCTCAAAATGCTCTCTTCTACCTGTTGATGTCATGTGGTGGTAGTTTTCAAGTTAGTGGATGGCTTTAACCTTTAGTTTAGTAGAGATTGGGAAGTCCAAAAGTCTGAAATCATCTAAATGATTCTAGTGAAGGTATATGGAGTTTTAAAACAATGGTGCACATGAGTGTTTTCAGTTTGAATGAAAAGTTCAACCCCGCAGGGATTGTGGTAAATGTGAAAGAAATAAAACAGAACTCCAGGCATGTTTGATGTGGAAACAGCATTATAACATTGATAAGAATATTGCATAATATGGGAGTTATTATTATTTGAGGGGAGTTGTTTATTTATTTTTTTATTTTTTTTATTTTTTTCTTCATATTTTAGATGATGCCATACTGCCAGGGGATACAATTGATTGTGTGGCATTTTCACAAGAAATATACAAAAGTTAACAAAAGTTAATACACAAAAATATTGAACCTGGTCCTTTCTAATAATGACTAGACCCTGAAACTTAACATATAAAAAAAAAAAAGAATTAATTTCCATCTGTAGTCATTGACTTATACTGTGATGATATCTGAACCCCAGCAATATGGCGCTAAATGAAGATTCACCCAAGCTGATGTCTTTAAGAGCTAAATTGTGCAAGATCGCTGGATCAGAGCGTTTCGAAAACCTATCCTCTTGTTGAGTGTTCTTGAGTTCAGTCTGTAGGGGTCAGTATTTATCAGAAAAGGAATAAACTGAACGCAGCCTGGTTGGGTTGGAGAGATGACTCTTTTTTTCTTTCATGATTTTTGTCTTATTAAAAACAAAATGATACCTACTTTTTCATTTTTGCCATTTTTAACTTGAAGAAATAAAAACATATATATAAATATAAAATACGGCTCCAAACTGCATACTTTCATTAAAAGAAGTTGGCTTTAAACTCCTTGATTAAAATGGCCAAAGTATATCAATGACAATTTGAAAATGTTACAAGGCAGATGCCTCTAATAATGGGTGCTGGTCTTATTTCTTTCTTCATTTCTATATTTTCCCTTTGACATAATAAACTGTGTAATTCTGAATACACAATTAACCAAAAATTCTTGTTCCCACAGGTATCACTTCACTCCTTAACAGCCCTTCGTCCCTTTTGTCCGACTCTCCGGCTTCAGGCAAGAAACCGCCCCCTCTTTCCTCCACATTACACACGGTCTCATCCCCTGCTACAATCATTTCAGAGACCTCCAACCAATCGCCCCCCTACCAAAGCCCCCTTCAGACTCAACCTGCCTCCTCTGCTCCGACCGAACCAGAACCCTCAACATTATCTGACAGTTTAGAGTCTAAAATCCACAGCTTCCTTCAGGGAAATCCAGCCTTCAGCACGTTCGATTTGGGGTTTGGGTCGACACCGACAAATGCAGCAAGTCCCGTGCAAGAAGGGACCCCTGTGCGTGACGAGGGGGGGAGCACGCCCACACAAGACGAGGTAATGGACAAAACAATGGTAGCACTTAATCCCAATCCAGTTTCTATTGGAGAGACTAGTAGCATTCTACCACAGCAAACTCCAGTTGTTCCTAATGGCCAATCTTATCAGCCTTATCCTTATGCTGACAATGCAACCCAGTCAGCTAGCACAGCACCAGCTGCAAATTATCAACAAATTTTGGCACAAATCGGAGATGTAGCCCCCAGCGCTGCCTCAAACATAACAAACATTGTAGAAAAAATCAATGAAAGTGGTTGGTTTAATGCCATTTACCCAGAAGGCAGCTCTCAGCAAAGTTTAAATGTGCCTCCGGGCCCATTGGAGACCACACAGCCTGGGCAGTTCGCATATCAATCTGTGCAAGAACCAATAGATGGCGCTGATGTGTCCACTGGTGTATATCTACCTCCCATCCCAGGCCCACCTGCTCCTCCCAACTACTACAACCCCACAGGTTTAGCTACTGGGGTCCCAGAGCAACACCCAGGCCCCATGGAAGAGCCAGCGTCAGGTGTTAGCAGTTTACTCAGTGGCGTTATAGTCCACGATCATCAACACAAGTCCTCTTTTCACCCGGACGACCCGATTTCTGACCCCCACGCCCCTGAATATTTAGACGAAAGGCGGTACCACGAAGATGAAATGTATCGGCGCGAACGTTTTCAAGAAGAGCCATACGGGCCTCCAGGTGAGCCCTATTTCGGACCAAGGCGCTTGACTCCACCCCTGTCCCCTCCAGAAGATGAATATTATGACTATCAGCATGGGGCAGCAACGTTAGCAAGGAGACCACCACTTCCACACCATCCCGATATGAGAATGAGAGGGATGAGACCGCCTCTTAGGCCTCCTCCACTGGGACATCATCCAAGGGGGCATCCGAGACCCCCGTTCCCAGGTGGGCGAGCTCCTGAGCCCTGGATGAGAGGCAAAAGACCAGGGCCAAGGAGAGGAGGAGGAGGAGGAGGGGGTCCCAACTTTCCCCCCAAGAGGCCTTTTCCCCCACGGCGGCGCTGAGTGGAGGAGGTAAAGGGGGTTAAATGAACAGCTACAGATGAAATGTCCAGTTTGAAGACACAAGTCGCACCAGAGATGTGAAAGGAGCTGACCAGAAGAGAAGACAGAAGAGTAAAGAGAATAAGAGGTGGATATATAATATAATTCACTCTTTGTGTTATTGGTTCAGTCTAAACATGTGTTTCTGTGAAGAATGCTGAGTGCATGGGGCGAGTGAGTGCATGGTCAGAGTGAACCTTCAGTCGCTGTCCGGGCCAAATGAAATCGTAAATAGTTATTTTTGCTAAAAGTAACAACAGAATGTAGTTGATGCAGTTTTTTCTGCTGTTGTTTAGTTTTTAGTGAATCTTTATCCATAAGCTGTATCCGAGAGCCTTTGGCAAATTATCAATTTAAATCAGACTTTGGAAAGAAAGATAATGGTTTGTTATATAAATAAGTTCTTTCGTGTACAAATTTGGGTAAGCATTTTTTATTTTACAAGTGAATGTAATATTTGTAAAGCTTTGCTTTATATAAAAGTGCGATAAATCGTTTCGGCGACGTTTTCTCGTCTCGTTGAGTTTCTGAAGGAGAGCGGCACCAGTTTAAAATGAGGGAGAGAGGATTATTTTTGCAGCCTCCGAAGAAGAAGTGCGTCCTGGATGAAGATTTTCATCTTCAGTTACATTTTACATTGTATTCACAAATAAAATCTGAGTTTGAAAACCTGTCTGTTTTACTTCTTTGAACCGTGGACATTGTCCTGAAAGCATCCAAGCAAACCCACACCACAACTCACCAAAACATGTCACTCAAATGTGAATTCTTCTAAAAGTAAACCCTGAAGTGCAGTTTCTGTCACTGAGTGAGTACTGCGCTGGTCATTGACATCATTCGCCTGATTAAATTAACATTAAAATTTAACACTATTTGTAGTGCTTATTTAGCAATAAGCAGTTAATGTTTCACACAAATTTATGCTTTCCACACTAGAAAGCCATTATTTTGCCTCTAGCGTTTGTGCATTCTCCAAGTTACTGAGAGTGTTTAAGTGCATTCTGAGCTGTGGGCCTTTTGCCTTAAATGCTCCTACTTAAGTTCACCTCTTATTCATTCCCATCAGCCTCTGGTTAACCACAGCCTGTGTTTGTCAGACTGAACCTGAGTCTCCTTGAACCTCCGAGCGCAGACGCTGAGGGCAGCTTAATTTAGCCCTCAGACAGACACCGGCTTCAGTGTCAGGACACTTTCATTTAGGAAAACACAAACTTTACACTTTTCCATAATCACACAACAACTTCATTACAAGGTGCTTTGATTATTACATCTTTTACTGTGAGGGTCACAAGCAAAGGTGAACTACTAGATTGATTTGAGCATGAACTATTTTTAATTTAGGGCCAATCTACTAATGCCAATAAATTCTTGTACTCAAGTAATGTTCAAGGATTGACATTCTCAGTTTAAAGTATTTTCTAGGTTTAGTAGCAAGAGCGTAACAGCATTATAAAGGAATGCGTCTATTGCTGGAGTAAGGAGTAGTTGTGGTAGTAGTAGTTATAGTACTAGTAGCATTAAATGTAGTCAAAGTCGTCATAGTAATGTGGCCTTTCTGTTTATACATATGTATTGTAATTGTTGTTACCTTTGTATAATATTCAGAGGTAAACTTATCCAATATGGAGATCTAGTTTACTCTGATTATCTAATCATTTTCTACCAGCAAATACATTATTTTTTAATACATGTACATGCTTTTAATTGTATGTGTTTGAAACATCCTAGTATTAAAGAAGTTCACAGCCAAATTTGCAGCACCCCCATTACACCCCATCTTGTTACAAAATGCAACACTACAAGCATACTGCATAAAGAGAGATGCATAATACCTACTTTTAAATATGCACTGAATACAAAATGGTGAAATTATTTATCTAGACAATTGGCCTAAATTTGCGACCACAAATCTATTTTATAACCTTTAATGCCATTTGAACTTTAGAAATAATCTTGCTCTTATAGTTTATCAAACGTTATTGGAAAAGTATTAAATTTGCAGTATTATTTTTTGTTGTTGTTTAGTTGTTTTTTGCGGAGACTTAAAAATGAGTTATGTAACTTTTGTGGTCTGCCACCTTCCTGTGTCCAATGGTATTACCTGGGAATGTTCCATACTATGGCATTAAACTTCTCGTACATACTTATTGTTCATATATTATTTGGAAAACCATGATTTCCTACCTTATGCGAGGTAACGTCTCCACAGATCTGTCCCGTAACTTTGCCAGGTAGTGTCATCTGCTTGTCCCAGTTTAATGCCACACTGAAACATTCCAGGTAAAAGGGACTAGCAGGAGGTGGGCCCCCCTTTAAAAGTGTAGACATACAAATAATAGATCAAGAAAAAGGGAGAGACAGACATTGAATGGTAATTTTATATGTTGAACCGATCTGCCATTTTTGTCTCTTGCCATTGTAAAGGACTACACTGTGTTAAACTATACAGCTTTATCTTTAAAGATCTGAAATCAGCCTGCCTTTTTACAATAGTCCCCTGTTCATATTATGTGTCCCTGTGTTTCTATATTTGCCACTGTTTTCAATATTAATGTTGATAAATAGTTGTTTTCCTTTGCTGTTTTTGAATGTCACTGGTGCTAACCCTGGCTCCTCCTCTACATGTCTTCTCCTCAGGGACCGCTGCAGTTCTTTGATGTCTCTGATTTGACGGAGGTTTTTTCCGTTCGTTTTTTTCGGCGCTCCTCTTTGAATCCTGCCGTGATTTCCCAGTGAAAAACACCTCTCTGATGTCTACCAAAGCAGCAGCAACGGATGTGGCCATTTAAGTAAGTTTTAGACCATGCAAAATACCCCACAGGACATCAATACAGCCAAGACACTGGGCAAATATTGAGTATTAAGTGTTTGGTGTCTGTTTTTGTAGATTCAGAGTTGAAAATGGACAGGCTTCAGGGATGAGTATAGGTGAGTATAATGCATCTTCATCAAACACATACAATCTTATACACCACTTGCCTTGATTATCCATTACCCTTGAGATATTTATTGCAAGTAGATAGAAATACTTCAAATCTTTTCAATTGTTCACTATAAAATAAAGTGCTTTGATTACAAACTGATATCACGTGTTTATTTGTATTTGTTGATGTATTTAAAAAAAAAAAAAAAGCATTTAACTATTAATGTGTATGTGTAGGACAAAATAGAAACCTTAGTCTTTATTATGACTTGTAGCCAGATTAAAATGTTTTGTCCTCCCAATACTACAATATAGGATTGATACTTTGCAGCAGATCTCATCAACATTCCCTGGGGGTGTGATGCTAACTGGAGGCACTGCTCTGTCTGAGGCTTTGTTAGACTTTAATCTGAGCTTTATTTTTACACAATCTGGCCACAAACAACTGATTTGGAACTACAACAGGCGAGCTGATTTGTGCTGTTAAACAAGTCCCTCAGATAACATTACAGTCACAAGTACAGTTAGTTCCTCTCACCTTTTTGTTGAAAATCAAACATCTAAACATGACCATAAACTCGTATTGATCACAGGCTCCTAAAACTGTGTTGTTTAAACAAATTTAGAATTTTTTCTTGAGTTTTCAGACAATCTTAACTTTTGTCAGTATTTGTTATTGTGTGCGTTGTGTCACCGTGGTAACTCCTAAACATTCCACCATTGGAGTACATGTAGAACACCCCCAGAAAGATGCCACTGCATAGTATCAATAGAAGTCATGGAGTGAGTGGCTGTGTTTACAAGCACGCCAAATATCTAATCTGATTTCTGCGGTTTTGACATTATTGAAATGTAATGTGAACAGTTACATCTGTTGAGTTTCTTTCTGTTCACAAATAATCAATAAAAGAAAACTAAAAGAGGCAAGAGTTATTTTTAAATGCTTTGTACTCTGTCTTTCAAATAGCTACTCTAGAATTACTCAAAAAAAACTGGCACGTCACCAAGCGTTTTTGATGATCAGATTTCCCTTGGGCATGTATACACACACAGACCAATAATCAGATCTAGCTTACAGTTATCTGATTATTGTAGTTACTTGATTTTTCAGGCCATGTAAACATTCCCAGTGGAAGCAATATCCAAACCACATCCGCAGTAATAAAGAAAATGTAATAACCATGTAACTTCGGGCATATTACTCAGCCTATAGCTTTGATTAAAGGTCCTATATTACACAGAATTGATTCCTGTGAGCTTAAAGCCTTTTATAATGTTGTTAACTCATTCAAAAAAACATGGAGTTGTATTTTGTTTCATTCACACATGTTGAACTCAACCTAAATATGCATTTTGTTAACACGTGTGAATGAAACAAAACACAACTCCAGATATGTTTGTGATGAGGAAACATTATAACGTAGATTAGAAAATAAGCAATAGTATATACAAAGAGAGCTGTGTTTTTTAGTTTTCTACCTAATCATACAACTTTTTAATTTCTTCAAACATATGAGGCAGAGTAGACATCTTTAGAACATTTTACAAAACCATGAATGAAACTTGATCTTAGGTTCACAAATACTTACTACCACGTTTAACCTATAAAATGTGACTTTAGGTAAATATTTTTATAAACATGCCTTAACCAAAACATACAAACAGTACCGCAACACACATGGACCTATAATATAAGACGTTTCACTACATTATAGATTGACTGAAACACTTATAAAGCTAAAACTTGCCACAGAGTGATGTCTTCCGCTGCCTATTTTTTACAAGGCACTCAATTGATTACAATCACCCAGTTTCTAATATAAGTTATTGATCGTTCGGAGGCAGCAAGCTCCAGTTTAATATGGCTGTGTACATTGCTAAGTGCTTTGACCTTTTCCTCACAGACCTCCTATTCACAGGTGGTTTGGTGTCCTTAAAAACGACTTCTCTCTCTACCAAGGAAAGCAAATAAAACATCCAACTATAAACCAGTTAAAAGGCTGCGATTTTGGGTCACATAAATAAGACAATACCGCCTAAATCACTCGTCACATTTTTTATTTACGTCTCGTCACCAGATGTCGTCGTTCTTTGCTGTCTGTCTCTGCACGTCCTTTGTGAACATATGCATTAATCACGTTTTATGGCGCGCGCTACGTGAAAACATGCATCGGCCTATATCCACCTTTTAAAATCGGGTTAAAACGATCACGCCACGTCTGTGTACAGTAGTCTTTCACACACGGAGGTACTGGAGGGCGGTAGGCTGGGTTATTTAGGGATTTGAGACTCGTATGCCAGATGGTAGTCTTAACTTTAAGCTGTTGCGGCGATCATTGCTGTTTGCTAGGAAAAAGGGAATTAAAGTTGTAGTCAGAGCGCCACGTGACCGTATATGTAGGTTCAACAAACATGAGATATAACGTTAATCTATCTGTGTCGTGAATTGCTTTTTTTTTTTTTTTTTTTTTTTTTTTGAGCCAACCAGGTTCAGATCGTGACTGCTTTGAAGTGCGTCGGTGTGCGCATGCGCCGTGGTGCTGCCTGCTGTCATGTGGGCTCATTGTTTACATGCTGCCGAGATTTCACAGAGGGCGTCGGACGTGCCTCTTTAGTCGTATCACACCTGTTTGGTTAGACATGAAATAAAGGACAGTATGAATGATTTATGGAGGTTTTAGGGGAGTTTGGGAGGGTAGAGACGCGGGTCCTGGTTTGACTGAGGTCGTTTCAGCACCACGGCCAGCTCCGGAGAGAACAAAAGGCGGATTTGCATCTTTTGATGTCAGGGAGTGTCCGTAAATTTGTCGTAATCTAAGAAAACGAAAAATGGTTGTTGATTTAGACAAACTTTACTGATCCACAGGGAAAACTATTTGGACACAGTAGCTCACTCATCACAATATAAAATGATAACAAAGAGTAAAAAATATAAATGGTAATAATAATTTCTAAATAAATAGCAAAAAAAGATAGCAAGAGATGAGTCAAATAAGGCATAATTATAAAATGTATAGGTACAAGTCAAAATAAAATATAAAAATAAGTAATAAAATATCAAATCTCAACTATATACTGTACAAGAGGCCAGGGGAAGCCCGGACGTACGGTTATCCGTTACATAAAGGTGAGTTGCTGTGCAGTTGGAGGGAGTATTAGCTGTTACTTAAAGGTGAGTTGTTGTACATATGTATGGAGTATGGTCAGAATGTACCTCTAGCCTATTTTCTACTGTCTGTAGTACTATAATAAATCCTGAATAAACCAAATGGGAAATCTTAAAAGAGACAAATAATGCAAATGGCCTTTAAACAGCTTTTATGATTTTCTCTTCTTGTTAACCCACCTAAAGTTAAATTTAACTGATTGAGGCATGCTTGACCAATCTTTATTCTACTGCAATCAGTACACCCTTGCTCTAAAAAACCTGTTTACATGACCCCTCCATGCCCCATTATAAAGATATACAGACACAACCTACAGTTGCAAGCAACCACAACTCTCCGAACTGTAAATATGCTTTTAGGTTAATGGAAATAAATGTGTCCTCATTAATCTTAATTAAACTAGGTCTATAGGCACGGTCTGTTAGACATTATTAATAGTTAACACAAATTACATGATCCATGAGAGAAATTTGGTAGGATAATTTAATTAAAGCCCTTATATTATTCAAAATTGACTCTTGAGAGCTTTTAGCCATGTTAGAATGTTGTTACTTCCTTAAAAACATATCTGGAGTTGTGTTTTGAGTAATCCTTTATTTTTAGACTGTCTACATCTCCAAAGCTTGTGATGCCCACTTTGTGATGTCATTAAGCTGCAGGTTTCAAGATAACAGCTACCTTTTACCTTTTGTTCAATGGAGATTGACTATTCCAAAAATAGCATAATATGGTAAAAGTAATAGTATACTGTGCCCTATTTATTTGCTTATGTAAGTGTAAATAGGCTAATTCCATGTATATTAGAAATGAAACGCACAGCTGCCTTTAGCTTTAGGCAAACTTGATTAAGAAGAATCATAATCCTGCTTAGACTATAGTGTTATTTCAGTGACTGGATCGTGCTCCCAGCTGCCCCCGCGCTTCTCCGTTTCCCCGTCTTGCGCTTTTGCGACGGTCCCTAATCGCAGACATCGGCTCGTCCTACCCAGGGGAGGGATGGGTTTTTGAGATGGACAGGGAGGGAGACACCGGCTTACGACGTCAAAGCACTATAGACGCACACAACACACAGAGCAGAGAGCGGAGAGGAGCGGGGACAACCAGACTGTCTATTCCCCAAGGTCCTCTCACGGCAAGCCAAATTATCGCCCTCTTTCTCCTCTGTCTCCTCTTTTAGACCCACCAGCGAGGTTTGTTTAACATTTTCAGAGTAGATTTGACTGCCAAAATACGGCGCAACTGGGAGTCGGAAGCGCACATGACGAATAGCGGACCGTCGTTGGATGTAAAATTGTGTTGTTTTACGCGGGGCCTATAACTTGTGATTCAAAAGGCGCACTCATCTTAAAGACAAATGAACTGAATCGTTGACAATTGACAACTACATCAGACCGTGGGGAAAGAAAGAAGAGAGACACACGAAAGGCTTACTACTAGTCTTCGCCACGAGTAGCACCACAGGTATGTTGTTTGGAAATTTATTCCAGTTTTGTCCCCCGTATTTTTTGATAGAATGCGTGAAATCGTATTTGTGTCATTGTTATTGTAGTCACAAAGCGAGCGCAGGTCTCCAGCTGTGATGACTGTCATGTTTCATTTGAGGGGGATCGGCCTAGATGCGACTTAAATGCCAAGGAAAATTAATTCACCATTTCTCTTTTGATTTTATTCTCTTTTACGCATACATTTTACATATTTATATTATTTTAATTCTGGGAGATAACGGCTCGGATAAGCACTCAACTCCTCCCTGAATTCAATGCCAAATTTTGTTCCTAAAAACTGAACCTGTTCTTAGCTTTTATGTATGTTTTATTTGCAATTACGCATGAACCTACCTTTAGTTTGGTACCTGAAAGGGGCAAGCTCTCCCCCCGTAATATCTTGCCAAATCTACATGGAAAAAAATGTTAAAATTGTAATTGTTTTGTCATATAAACTACTGCTTTTGAATTGCTTTACAACGCCACTGGGACCACTGAAGCCTACCCCACTTACAGACCTTGACACATCCATTAGTCCCTATCTTTTACTGTACAATGAAAGATGACAAGCAGCCAATATTTGATGACTTCTTCTATAGAAAGCATTACTCATTCACATGTCAGGTAAAACGTTAATATAAAGGTCTTACACTTGATTGAAACCAAGATATGTTTTGTGGGAAAGGGGTTTTTAATTTGTGAAAAAAAAAGAAAGAAAAAGACCTTTCAAGGCTATGGAAGCTACATTATAATGGCAAAGTCAGTATTTATAGCCCGTGAGTGAAAATTAAATATTTATGCCAAGTTAAATGTTTTATTTCTTTTAGTTAATTATGCAACAATGAGTTGCATATTATCGGTCAGGTAGTTTTTGTGCGTTTTGACCTTTGCGCAGATTGAACATCGAATAGTCTTTGATATATCGATAATTCTGAGCAGGGTTAGTACACTTGAACTATTAAATGCACTCTTTTTTACTGCAGAATCATCAGAGTATTTGGTACTGTGGTAAAGACCTGTTGTGCTCACTGTGCTTCCAGATGCTCTGTGTTACCCAACAGAGATTGCTTGGCAGATCATATTATTACCTTTATATTATATTCCAGTTTATCCATGCAACATAACCAAATCTAATATTGCTCGATTGCAGAAGTAATTGTCAGATCCATTTGATTTGAATAGTATTTGTCAGATAGGCCTTGGTGACTTGGGTTGCTCTCCACCCACATCTAAACAAATAAAACGAACACAACACACGCCGTAAAGAGCTTTATTTGAATTGGCAATGATATTTTTACCTGCGAAATACTTGACCAATGAGAAACGTCACGCTATAAAAAGACTTGTTGACTCATCCTTTGACATTGTACTGTGGAAAATGCCAAACATACATGTAATATTTTGGTGTCCTACAATATGTGTTTAGCTCATTCTTGTTACGTAGATGGTCGTTAAAACAGCCAACACTACTTTACGACCTTGCTAATGGTCGACATGGGTCATTTTTAAACTTCTGTATTTTTCATGCTCTAAAATGTCTTGCAATCTGATTCGGCACCTCCCCGCTCGGCCTCCTGTTCTCACCTCCTGTGTGGTGTGAAGTCAGACCCCCAGGCTCCTGTCTGCTTCTCCAAAACACGTCCAAATCACTGTGTCCCTCCTCCAGGCTGCATGATATGAGAAAAACATACAGTATCAGTGTTAACGGTGCAGCAAGTAATGATATGTTTTGAATATTTTGAGTGAGTTTTGCAAAAATTGTAGCAAAAAATGGCTGCACTCTATATACAAAATCGAAATGGGACGAGACAGTTTTTGCAAGATGAGATGTCACAAGATTAAATTTGATGTAATTTTCAGTAAATAAATAGTGCCATCCAGTTTCCCCATTTGGCTTCACTATATTTTAATTTATTTAATTTTGTAGTTTCTTTTTGGTATTAAAGCTTTTCAAGGAGTTATTTAGTGAAGTTAACCTTTTTTTATCTAAGGCAAATGTAAAAATATGAGGAAAGAAAATCTCGAGATAATTTTCCTCTCGTGTGATCTTCTGGAACGAGATCTTGTCCAATCCATATTACAAAAATATAATTATTGCAATGTTAGCTGATGCAGTATTCATTCATTCATTCATGTTCAGTTTAGTCATTCTTTTTTATATATATTGTTAGTAATGTTAGCTGATACATTTTTTTCTGTTCTGTTCTGTGTGTTAAAATATGCAGGAAGTTAATGTTCATGTTTTCTCTTTTTAGTTCTAAATTTACATGATTTTTGCCATTTTATTATCGACTATCACACTTTCTTTCCCCCTTATATCATGCTTGTACATGTTTTTATTATTTTTCTATAGTTTCTTGCAATATGCTTATTATAATTTTATGAAACTTTTAACATATTTGGTTCCATTTTTTAATACCCACACCTACATTAGC